AGCTGGTGCACTCAGGTGCATTGAAATGCAGCTACAACTATTCGACTACAACAATGATACAACCTGCTTAATGCCCTGGATGCATCTTTTGGGTGGAAGAGATTCATTTGGAAGGCATATGTTTTTATCATGATTTTAATTGCAAGATTGTTACTGGTAATGACTTCCTCTTGTACCCCATTAGTCATGCTTGGTTTCTGAAAGCAGAAGCACTGTAGACAGATAATCTCATTCCATCATTCCTGACACAAGAATCTTAATTTATAGATAAGCCACCTGTTAAAGATAATCTCTGTGTGTAACATCTGGCATCCTTGAAGGGAATCCTTGTCAGAGATGGACCAGGCTTGATTTGCAACAAGACCACCAGTTTTAAGAGTTTGCATTTTAGCATTCAGTCATGTAGCCAAGGTTGGGCCTCAGGACAAAAGAAAAGGTCTCTACAGTCATGGGGGCAGATGATGACTTAAAGAAAAACAGGTGATAGGGCAGTAGCAAACAGGATCAACGTTATTTTCTGAGTTGATGTGGCCATATGCAATATTTTCTTCTTCTTTTTGGAAAGCCTTTATAGTAATGGGGGTAGCTAACTGAGTATCTCCATAATTCCAGAGAATAGTTTTATTAGATTTACAAATAAAATAAAATAATATATAATTCCTTTCTGAAATATGACAGGGTTTCATTTCCAAGTTAGATCTACCACTGCACTACTGATAGGTTAGCCTTTTCTATATGCTTGGACCACACAGAACCATCTAAAACCTTCATAGAGTGAAGGTTTTAAAAATCATCCAGAAGAAAACCAAGATTAAAATGGGAACCATCACCAAGAGAAAGGAGAAGCAGCTGTCAGGACTGCTAAGAGGAGTCCATTGCTTAATCATCTACATCAACAAAGACAGGCAGTCCAAGCTGATTCCAGAAAATGTCAAAGATAGAAGCTGTAATTAATGTCACCAGTGGACTAAATGTTTTATTAACATTCCAAAATGCCAAAGAAGGAAAGCTAATTGATTTGGACATAGCATTAACTTCTTTATGATTGCAAAGTCCACACCCACCAAAGGAATCTTGAGTTGCAAATACTTTTTCGAAGAGCTGAGTTATGAACATCTTCATTGGATCCAATCAAATGGGTGATTTAATTTAGCATCCTGTTTAATATAGCAGCCATGAGATGGCTCTACACCACTTACAAATAGATGTGTCTTATAGCTCATCCTAAAGGTTGCTTGGTCTTCACCAACCAATATCCTGCCCATCCCTAAAATGAAATTTCAGTTTAATAACACAGGTATGGTCAACAAAGAATGTTCTTCATACATTCCTACTTGCCATGAGGTTGTGGGTTATTTGTCTAGGAACGTGAATACTTAGAACTATATTAGGTATCTTTACAAGCATTTAGTGTTTCCTAAAACAAGGAAAAGGGGATGCTACAAATCATGGTGTCCATTCAAATTAGCACTTCCATTACTGGCTGAAGCTACAATTGAGTTAAGCATGATAGAGGTGTGCTTTAAGTTTGCAAGAGCTCTGTTTTCATGTTGGCTGGCGTGTGGTTAGGTTGGATCTGGCTTTAATGCCAGGAGAATGTGGAGCTTTTACAGAAAAGATATCTCAGTCCTGGGAAAGTATAAAGCTGTGTGAGAAAACAAAACACCAAATTCAAAAGAACTCCACCTTGATTGTGAGTTGAAGTAGAGAGAGGCTTTGTCAGACTTCCAAGTTTCTGTTACAATACCCTAACACCAAAACGATTCTGAGCAGATTCACAAGTTAAAAGAAACAACCTTATAAAAACCATCATCTGGGGGACAACATAACATCCAACCACATCAATCCCAACAAAAAGGGTCTGATTCAAGGCCTAGAAATTCCCTGATACTAACCAAGGCTCGCCCTGCTATGTTTTGGAGCTAAATTAAGGGTGAGTAGGTTCTGCCTTCTGCTGAGCCAATAACTAACCCTAAAAATAAAAAAAGGCAAAATATTTTAGCTCTGCCTAGTGACATTAATGCATTGCTATGTTGCCTCCCAGCCTCCAGAACCTTAAAATAATGGAAGGAGAAAAACATACCACATGGGCTCATATCTCTACAGGTTACCAAAAGTTACCTCCTTTAACATCTGAAGGCTTGACATCACCTTTAGGAAAAATAGCATCTGTACTCTGAAGACTTACCTGTTGCTTCCACCATCCCTTCTAAAATTACAACAATTTCAAACTCCTCCTTCTCCAACTGGGCACGTGACATCTCCCAAAAGGGACTCTTCTCGTTGATTTCATGTGAAATGATGAGTGGGGATACCAGAAACAGCCTGTCATCACCTGTGTCAAATCCCACGTTGATGTCTGTTTGGTTCAAGGGGATGAATTCCCCTTCTTTGGTCTGTTTGGATTTAATCAACTTGGCTCGAATAGATGCCTCTACAATGTGGGAATTCCTTAGGTCTCCAACCCGGAACATGAGACACAATTTTTCATCCCGCATGGAAATCACAGCGTTGTTAGAGAACATGAGGGTCTCTGCCCTCTTCTTTGGTTGGCTGATCTTCACAAACATGCACCCCACCATGAAAGCATTGACTATGGAACCCAGGATTGCCTGGACCAAAAGCAGTATGATGCCCTCAGGACATTTTTCAGTGATCACCCTGTGGCCGTAACCAATAGTGGTCTCCGTCTCAATGGAAAACAGAAAGGCTGAGACAAACCCACTGAGGTTGTCAACACAAGGGATCCAGTCTTCATCTTCTGCATGGTCTAAGTCTCCTCGGATATAGGCAATGAGCCACCAAATGAAACCAAAAAACAACCAAGTGATGGTGTAAACCATGGTAAACACAAGCAGGTTAAAGCGCCACTTGAGATCCACCAAAGTGGTGAAAAGATCACTGAGATATCGGTAAGTTTCCTGGACATTCCCATGATGAACATTACACTTGCCAGTTTTTTCCATGTACCGCTGGCGTGGTTTCTTGATTTCAGCTGCCAAAAGACGTGTTCGATCAGTGGCAATTGGGACATCATCCCGGGCTTGTTTGGGAATCTTCTTTTGCTCTCTGTGGGTGACACCAATTTCCATATCTTGATTCATGAAGATTCTTGAATCTCCAGCCATGGTTGGGCTACATAACAGAGGAAAAAGAAAGGTAACTCTACCTTATCAGAATAAGTAAAATTGTTTTCCTCAATCTATTTCTCTCTTGATATTTGTGACTATAAGCTATGTGGGCTGGTAATGATGTGAATTGACATCCAAAATGTTTGTAGAACAGCAGTTCAGGGAAAGTGGATCCAGATCTTTAGATGAGCATCCTAAGGTGGTTATAGTACATTTTCATGGACATTGACATGGTGGTGATTCACTTTATCCATAAAATAATCTTATTTCCACCCCCCCCCTTAATCTTTTGGTTCCTTAACTTTATCAGTTGAAGTGTCAGAGTTACCTTTGTTCAAAATGTCCCTGAATTTATTGAATAAGATGGTGCAAGACATTTGAAAGGAGTGTGTTGCAAAACACATTAGCCTGAACAAAACCTATCTCCTAATCTTCAAGCACCTGTTCCTTTTGCAAAGATTGAAGGACGGCTTTGAAAATTCTTCCCAGCTGTCTTCACAGGTGTATACATGGATAGACACTCTGCTGCCTTGGAGGTTCCAATGGAAGTGTTGCCTATGCAGACATGCGTGCATATGTCCATGCACACACACACACTACTGGAGATAATATTCAGCTGTGCAAACAACAAAGCTGCTTTATCAGTTTGGAGAGAGGTGCTATGGTCATGCTAGGGCAGTGTTGTCCAAACCTGGCCACTTTAAGATGAGTGGACTTCAACTCCTGCTGGCTGGGGAATTCTGGGAGTTGAAGTCCACTCATCTTA